AATTACAAGGAAATAATTTTCTATACCAATTGATCGAAAAATACAAGTTCAGAAATAAAAAATATTTATAAGAAAAATTATATACAAGTAAGAGAAAATAGACTATTGAAAGTTATTTAAAGTTCTATTGGATAACATAAAAATATGATAGAAAAACCTCCATGGATGACCATAGGCTATGATACCAAGTAGATGAAACTATTGGAGGAGAAACTTGGTGTATCTTTTCAATTAGTTATATTGATGCTACAACCATGGAATTCATAACTCCAAAGCAAACTTGAAAACGATTGAAGAGACAAGAGGAGGATGCACCACTTCATTAGGAAGAAAAGTAAGAATCGAAGAACTTGCCATAAGGAGGAATTCCTTGATAAAAGTTCATAAGGAGAAAGTTTGCCAAGGAGAAAACTAAGAGCTTTTGGGAGAGAAATTTGCAACTCAATTTCTTATTCAATTAAAAGTGGTTGAATATGTGTAGGGAGATTCAATTTATAGAGTTTGCTAGCTTGTGATGCAAGTTAAGCTAATCATGGTTACATGTAACATAGATTAAGTTAACTTATACTCAAAACTACCAACTCTAGTTACAATTTAAAACTTGAATTTCTCTCATAAAAAATCTCACTATCTTAAATCTAGAAGAGTCAATAGAAGCATGCATGTGACAAGGTGCAAGAAGTGTGACTCGTGTCAACATCCTAGATTTAGAAGAGTCAATGGGGGTTTGTCACCTGGCAAGGTGCTAAAAGTGTTACTAAAGGCGACACATGGCTAGAAAGAATGTATTTTATAAATGTTGTTAAAAAACAACCGAACAAAGAAAAAAAATACATGTTCAAGAATTTCAACAAGAAAGGCTTTTCTTGACTTTTGAGAGAGAGAAAAAATTCAATTTTAGAAACATTGAATAGCTTTTCCATTTCAATCAACAAAGGGTGCAGCATTCAGTTGTTGACTTTCTTTTGGCAGCCTTGGCAGTGGATGGAGACAATGACCACAACAAGGGTCTCGGAGTCAGAGGCATTTACCTTGCATTGGAGAAGCTCTACTTGTACTTGTGCGTCCTACATCTTGAGTGGAACTTTGAAGAGATAAGAAATGGATGACAGATCATAGTAGTCAATCCGGATAGCGGAGCGGAGCAGTCAACCCTAAAAACGGGATAGCGGGATAACGCGGAGCGGGATAACCGCTATTTTAATATTAATTTATATATATTAAATAATTAATAATATATATATATAAGCTAAAAAAAATCTGCTGAATTAAATTTAATCAAAAATTAAGTATAACCATCTGTAACATGACCATAAATAACAAGAAATTACAAACTTAAAGCAAACACCATGGAAAGAAATGGAAGTTGCAGCTGTGTAAACGAAATCATGCAACCAACATAAAGTTTAAATAATTCAGTTAGTCCTCAATTTATATAGAAACGGAACTGCAAGCTTCAACTATTTTAAACCATTAAAAGATATTGTCCTAGTTTATAGATAGTTTCAGTATCAAGAAATCTGTTTCTTACAAATTCCTTGATGTGACATGTGTGTTGCTTTGTAGAAGGCGCCACAACACAATTTTAGACAATTTAACTCTAGATCTCTCTTGGCAATTTAACTTATAGTTTTTGTCGGTCGTATCATGGCTTGTTTGGTTCAAGGACATGTTGTTTCCATTGCCTGCTTTCACTAAATAATTACCAAAAACACCACCTTGTTTTCAAAGATTTATACAAATGGGGAAAGCATTGCTTTTGCCATTTCTTATACAAACTTTGAAAAATAGAAAAATAAAATGAAATTATGAAAACAAGGTGAAACTATTGCAATTATTGATAAAAACAAATGTTTTAATCCTTGAACCAAAAAATCCTTTAGTTCTGTTAGAACAGAGTGGGCAAGCAAGCCCCGTAATGGAAGCCAAAAAGACAGACACAATATACAGAAATGCTGAAAAAAAAAAAAAAATTACTTATGTCAAAGATGCATACCTGGATGAAATAAAATATCAGGAAGATAATTCTTTGATTCATCAACAGGTCCTGTCACACAAATATCATTATATGCCCAATGCAAGTCATGTCGGTTAAAATAGATGGACCAAAGCAGAACTAGAAAGAAAATCATGAATACCAAGTAATACAAAAAAAGTGGTGTGCTGTAGCATCTACCATCAGTTTCAGATCATTTGGAGAATTCTTGTAATGCGATACAACATATGGCCATAATTCGCTGCAAGAATGACAATACTTTAGCGCCCCATTTAAACATGTGAAAATATTAATCACAGACCACCCAACATCATCAGATAAATCTGGTCTTACCTGCAAAAACAATTCACTATCTTTGTGATAGGGAAAAACAGTATCCTGATTAACATAGTATAGATCACACTCACTATGAGGAGGTAACCTAATTTGAGAACAAAAGAACCATAAATGGATATTGAAAAAAATTTCTCATCTTCCAACAAAACATGAAATAAGATAGAAATAATCTGCTAAGATTAGGGATGGCATTTGAAACATCTAAGCAAAGTAATGTGTTGAGCCAACTTTCAATAGGATCCCCAAAAGCGTATCTCATGGGTTTACTCAGTTCTATTTTCTTAAATTGACAACCTGAGAGATAACTTTTTTTTTTTTTTTTTGCAACAACTCATGCACCCTTTAAAAATATGTGCATCACAATAATTTAATGGATTCTTTGAAACCAAATATCTTGATTTCTTAATCCATTTAGAATGTATTTCCATTATGAATAGTAGATGACATACACGTTGTTTATTAAGGTGATGTTTTAAAGCTAGTAGCAAAAATAAGCACCAGAACCAGTGCCCTCTGTGCTCGTGGAAGACATACTGCTTTGCAATTCCAATTGATGCAAAAGCTTTAGCGATAAAGAGCGTCCAGTACCTTCAAACCTTTTGATTTAAAAGAAAACAGTTTTTTTCAGTTCTCTTAAATGGAGAGACATATAAAACATTGTTAAAGAGATGCAGGAAATGGCCAACAATAAAAAATGATTAATAACTCCCCTGCGGCATAAGAAAAAACAATAGTCATACCCATTAACAGTAGAAGACAGGAAGATCAAATATGGGCCAAGCAAAGACTTACCACCAGCAGTGGAATAGCAGTAGCTTCTTCAACAAACAACAGCTCAACTTGTGAAAGCTTTTCATGCTCGTGTGGGCCATATATAGTGAATGAAATTGACAAGGAAAAAAGAGGTCCTGAATTTCATTTACTTGTAATCTCACAGCAATGGTAAGTTTCCTAAACATCAATACATTTTTTAAGTTAAATATATCAATGCACACATACACAAAGACAGATACATAGCACATATAAACATAAATAAACAAATATAGACATAACACACACCAAAAAAGTCACAAACACACCCACACAGAGGGAGTGAGAGAGATACATACACAGAGATAAAAACATAAACTAGACACAAACAAAGAGACATCTAAACACAGATATAAATTACACATACACAAGTAAAGACAAACGCAGATACAAAGATAAAGGCAGGGCATACACATGGAGAGACACCGGCACAAACACATCACTTGCAAAGTAACACATAGACACAAATAAAAACTGAGCAAATGCATAAACATAGAGACTGTTAGATATAATTTTATCTTATAGTTTTTATCTTATAGTTTTTATCTTATGGGCCTAGGCCCACTACTTTGTATTTAAACACATCTGTTGCTTTGCAATACACAAGGAATATGTTCTCTCCATTCACCATTACTCTCAACATGGTATCTAGAGCCTAATCCTTGACCTCCCGGTGGACCCACTGTTCATCAGTGCCCGAAAAACGTGTCTCATTCCGTTTTCCAGCTACCCACCCTGTCGTGTCTCTTTCCGGAAATTTTTTTCCTATTTTTTAGGGTTTCTTCTTCGTTGCCGCCGTCGCCGCCGCCACCTTTCCGGCCGGGCACC